AACCACAGATTAACACTTCGGGAAAATACCCCAAACCAACACCCTATGAGTAACACCACCAGAATAGCACACCTAGAATCAGTGCCCTGCATAACACTTTCTAATGACAGCCTAGAGTAGTGCCTTAGAATAACATCCAGACGGGTTCCGCGGGGATGAAGAGCCTCAAATTAAGGCCCTGTGAGTAAGGTCTTGTCATTCCCAGCTGCCCAGGGGCCCTTCAGTCCCACTGACTGTAGTGATCATCATGGGCTGGCAACTGTCACCCCATAGGACTCAGGCCAGGAAGAGGATTTGGATGGGCAGAAGGGGACAATAAAGAGATGAAGTGGATATCAGCTTGCCAAAGGAGTGGTAACCTCCATTCCACTTTTAAAGACAGAGGTGGGCATCCCAGGACACCCTGACTGGTCCCTGGACTCTGACCTTGTGCCTTGACGTGGAGAAGGTGGCATAGTGCTGGCACTGGAATCCACAGCTCCTCAGAATTCTTGAAGACTCCTACACCCCTCCCACTTGCCCTTCCAGCCTCAACAACAAGTGCCTTCAGTCTGTCGGCCTCCATTTTCCTGGGTGTCTCCTGCACTTTGCGGTGTGCGCCTTCTTTCCATCTCTCCCTCCCTGTCACTGTCTCTCCCTGTCTTCCCACTGTCTCTCTAGGTCTCTATCTCTGTCCTTCCATCCTGCAGAGTGCAGTGGGGGTGGGGGTGCTATTAATCTCCTGGCTCTGTTTTGCCCAAAGAGTAGGAAGGGGGAGGGCCTGACATTGAGAGGGTCTTACCTGCTTGAATTGCTCCTCGTAGGTCCACTCGTGGGGATGAGGTCCAGGGGGCTGGCTGGAAGGTGAGCTGCTGCCCCAGGTCCCTGGCCGGCTGTCCTCAGCTGCCTCATCTTCTGCCCCAGCTTCTTCTTCCTCCTCATCTTGGCCGTCCTCTTCTTCCTCAGCTCCAACCTCCCCCAACCCCCTCTCAGGGGCCTCCAGGGTCCGGGGTCCAGGAAAGGAAGGCCCTGGGGGTGCTGCTGGTGGTGGTGGGTGTGGAGGGGCCAGTGGCCCCACCCCCTGGGCCAGCCTGGCTGCCTGCTGTCTCTGCAGGGCTTCCATGACAGCTTCCAGGCGCAGTCCCCCCACGGGTGGAGGGGCTGGCACCAGGCGGGGCCCTGGGGAAAGGGCTGCCTGTGGGAGAGGGAATGATGGGCGTTGGATCCAACCAAGGGGAGGTGGTCATGGACTCAGGGAAGCACCGGGTGGGGGGAGGTGGGGCATGAGAAAAAAGTCAGAAAGATCGCTTTCTCAGAAATCCACCGAGAGGTAAAAGGAGCAGGAGAGACAGGGACGGGGCCCAGAGAGACAGAAACGGACACTGACAGCACAGGTAGAGACGGAGCAGATCAAAGAGGGTGACAAGGACCAAGGGACAGAGAGAGAGATGGAGGGGAGAGAGAAGGACAGGGAGACGTGAGGACAGAGATGGAGATGGGACCGAGAGATGGGGAGAGGCACGAGACCGGACAGAGACCAAGGTGGAGAGAGGCCGAGACAGCAGGCAGAGACAGAGGTGGGGAGAGATGAGATTAATAGAGACATCAGATAGGGAGACTAGGAAGGTAGGCGATAGAGGAGCAAGAGATAAATATCCAAGACCTGAGTGACAGGCTGTCCAGGGAGAGTCACAGAGAGACAGAGGCAGACAAATAGTAAGACCAGGGTAGAGAGGGACCAGAGAAGACCGACGCAGCAGGAGACAGAGACAGGAGAGATTCGACAGAGACAGGGCAAAACAGTAAATAGACGAGGGGCAGAGACAGGGGAGAAGACGGACACGGGGCAGAGAGACTGAGGACTAGAACCGAGGAGGAGGGGGAACAGAGGATCCCCGGGACAGACCCCGGGACGGGGCCGGGGACGCCGGGGTCTCCTCGCCCGCTCCCCGGCTCCCGGCTGCCACACTCACCAGCCTGGCGCGGCCCGCTGCCCCCGGAGTCTCCACGGCGCTCCCTCCGTTCAGCCCGCCTCTCGGGCGGCCCCTGTCGCGGCTCGGTTCCCTGCGCAGGGTCCCCTGCCGTGCGCTCCGGCCGCCGCGCGCCCCTCCGGCCTCCGTGCGCTCACTCGCTGCTCTGCTCGCGGCGGCCGCGAGGGCGGGACCCGAGCGGGGCCGGGCGGGCGGGGAGGCAGGGAGAGGCCCCGGGAGGGGAGGGGGGCTCTGCGGCTTCCAGCCCCCCAACAGGTGTCTCCCACCCTCCATACAGCCAGATTCGGAGAGGAGAGGGCGCTGGAGAGCTGCTGGGGATCGTGCAAAGGAGAGTGAGGCGTACCCCATCACTGAACTCCGATCCAGGGTCCTTCCCCGGCCGCACATGTCTGGGGTAGGGGCCCCACATCGGTACTCCGTGCCCGGCATCCGAACACCAACATTCGTGTTCACACACCAACACACCCTGTCCCGAGTTCACACACAGCAGCCGTGTCTCACACACTTGGCTACAGGGATGCTGTGGCGCCAACGCCTAGACTGGCTGTGATCAGGAGGGGAATCACTGCAGGGTTCTGGGGTGATGGTGCAGGGCCTGGACAGAGCAGAAACTGCCCCCTGCCCTGCCTAGGTGCTGGCCCCAGCTGCAGGCACGCTGCAGCTTGCACCATACTCGCACATGGTGAACTCACTTCTGCACTCACACACTCAGAGGTCTCTGAGCTGATTGCACACCAACATCAGGGCACACATACCACCTGCAGGTACAAAGCTACACCGTGTTTAGCTCCTTTGACGTTCTATTATGGAAAATGTCAACATATTCTCAAGAAGAGTGACTAGAATAACGAGCCTCCGGCACTCCTCACGAATTTCAACGGTGATCAGATTTTGCCCATTTTTCCAGACACCCTCCACCCATGTTTGCATAACTATCTCCAACTGCTCCAGGCTCACCTCACCCCCAGTTATCCTCCAGATGAGGAGATGCCATTCCTTAGCAGCCTGGACCCCACTCTTAAGCACCCTCATACATTCCACAGTTTCTTCCTATGCCCGAGGAAATTGACCTACAAAAAGCACCGAAGGTCACCCAGAGGTGATGCCAAGTGTGTGAGGCATCACGCCTCTGTAGGAGTGATAGCTGGCATGGTTGTGAAACTCTGCTGTGTCATTCATACTCACTGAGGTACACTAGTGCCAGGGCCAAGATTCCTCTAGGAGGCAGAAATTTAGGGGTGAGTTTTACCTTCTCCTTCCTCCTCCACCCTCTCCCAATCAGTCTGTTCCTCTCAGACCCAGGTTGCCCTGGCCTGGACCACCAACTCTTCTTACCAAGCTCTTGTGGTGGGTAACACCCCTGTGCTCTCCCTGGCTCCAGCCTCCACCCTGTCCCCAGCTCATTTCCCGCTAGGGCACTAAGTCCTTGTTCTCTTTTAGCCCACCCCTGGGCACAGTGAGACTCAGTCCTGCTCATACCCTTGGATCACTCCAGTGCCCACCTGCTCAGATTTCAGATTGGACAGCCCAGACACCACCTCCACCAAGAAGCCTTAGTGATCCCACCACTTTCAAATCCCATGCCCCCTGCTCCCACGGCTTTGTGTGGTCTAAGTTCTCCCGGGACAGAGTCAAGCCCCTCTGCTGCTCCACCTCCAAGGTGACTCCTGTGCTCAGCTTGCCTGCCTCCCTCCCCACCCTCTAACTTCCCTGGCTGCTCAGAGAGGAAGTGACCGAGAGAGACAGAGGTAAGTTTCCTATTGGAAAGGTGGGAACTGGCTTGGGGGAATTCCAGCTCTGAGGGTCTGGAGATTGCTTTGGAGGGGATGGAGAGGGAGAAGAGACTGGAGGCTACTCCCCAAGGAGAAGAATCAAGTGGGGCTTCATGAATAGGGGGGCTTCCCTTGTGGCTCAGTCGTAAAGAAGCTGTCCGCTGTTGCAGGAGACATTGTTCGATCACTGATCTGGGAAGATCCCACATGCCACACCACAACTATTGAGCCTGCACTCTAGAGCCTGGGAGCCACAATTCATGAGCCCATGTGCCACAAGTACTGAAGCCCTAGTGCCAAAGCTTGTGCTATGCACCAAGAGAATCCACTGCAATGAGGAGCCCTCGCACCGGAACTATAGAGTACTCTCAGCCGGCCACTAGAGAAAAGCCTGCGCAGCAATAAAGGCTACGCACAGCCAAAAATAAATGAAATTCTGTCTTTAAAAAAGAAGCATAGTAAATTCACCTTTGGGTCTAGGCTAGGAAGGCACTATGGGGAAGGGCAGAGGAGAAGGAATAAGTTGACTGGAACTTGGTTTCTCTTTCTCTCTCTCTCTCCATCTGTGAAGAAGAAAGGCATCTTATACCCATATATAGCCCCCTCTGAGCCTGTACCTTACACAGACAGATAGATCTAGACCTCCATTCATCCAACACATACTTATGGAGCACCTACCTTATGTGAGGCAATGTTGGACACAGGAGTAAATATAGCAAAGTCCCTATTATAATGGCATAATTCCAGTGGGAGAAATATATAATGTGTATAATAAGCAAAATGGAGAAAAATAAATCTGGGTTGGGGGAATAGAAAGGGAATCATGTATTAGTTACCTATTACTGTGCAACAAATTACATTCAAACTTAGAAGCTTGAAACCGCATTTATTTTTTCACAATTTTGTGAATCAGGAATTCGAGAGTGGCTTAGCTGAGGGGTGCTAACTGTCTTTTCATGAGGTTGTAGTCAAGATGTTGGCTGCAGTGATTTGAAGGTTTGGCTGGGACTGGAGGATCCTCTTTGCTTGCATGGCTATTGGCAAGAGGCTGTTCTCCCCAGCTGGGCCTCTCCATAGGAGAGGACCTCATGTCTGAGTGTCCTCCAACCTGGCAGCTGGTTTCCCCCAGAGAGAGTGACTAGAGAGGGAAGAGAGCTTTTTATAGACTAGTTTTAGAAGTCACACACTGTCACTTCTGCCATATATTATTTGTTAAAAGTACATAACTAAGTCCAGCCTACACTTAAGGGGAAGGGAATTAGGCTTCACCTCTTAAGAGGAAGAGTATCAAAAATTTGCTATTTGAAAACCAACACAGAAGGGCTGATATTACCCAATAGTAAGGGAAGGACTCACTGAGCAGGAATTTGAGGGAGGAAAGGCCATCCAGATACCTGGGGAAGAGACTTGCAGTCAGAACAGCAGGTGTAAATACCCTGAAGTGGAAGTTTGATGCGTTGGAAGAAATGCAAGGCCACTGGTCTAGAACACAGTGGCCAAGGTGACCAGTTGGATATTTGGTCAGAGGTAACATGGACCTTGGAGTAGGTTCTTGGAGGCAGTGAAAGGACTGGATGAGATGGGAAGCCATTGGAAATGGCTGAGCAGAGTGAAAGTCTGAGCAAAGAGTGAGAGTCTGACTCTGGTTGTTGAGTCTGGCTCTGACCTTCCACAACAGATGCAAGCATTAGGCTCAGTTAGGAGGCCATTGCAGTAATCCAGGCAAGAGATGATGATGGCTTGTACCAGGGTGGTAACAGTGGAGATGACAAGGACTTGTAAGATGCTGAATATGTTTTGAAGATAAATCTGTCAGGATCTGTTGATGTCTTGAATGTAGAATGTGAGAGAATGAAAGGTATCCAAGATGACTCCAAGGTATTTGGCCAAAGCACCTGGATAAATGCAGGTGCCCTTAACTGAGGCCATAAAGACTGCAGGAGGTGCAGGACTGGGAGAGAAATCGGTTTGTGTTGAACATTTTGAGATGCCAATTAGATGACCAAGTGAAGAGGTCAAGTGGAGATGAAAGTAATCAGCTATCCGAATCTGGAACTCAGAGGATGTTTAGACTGAGGCCAAAAATGACGCATCAAGACACATAAATGGTCCTCAAGTTCCAAACATTGTTGCAAATGGCAGAGTTTCCTTCTTTTTCATGGCTGAATAACATTCCTTGTAGATGTATACCACATTTTCTTTATCTATTCATTCTTGAGAGTATTATGTGAAATGAAATAATCAGATAAAGACAAATGTTATTAAATGTGGACTCTAAAAAAACAAAAAACTGAACTTATAGAAACAGAGAACAGATTGGTGGTTGCCAGAGGTCAGGGGAGAAATGAGACTGGTCAAAAGGTAAACTTCTGGTTATAAGATAAATAAGTCCTGGGGATGTAATGTACAGCATTCTGACTATAGTCAACAATATTATATGGCATATTTGCAAGTTGCTAACAGAGTAGATCTTGAAACCTCTAATCAAAAGAAAAAAATTATGACTGTGTGGTGATGAATGTTAACTTGTGGTAATCATTTCATAATATAGACATATATCAAATTATTATGTTGTATACCTTAGAATTAATAAAACCTTGCATATCAATTGTACCTCAGTATAACTGGTATGTAGACATATAGGTGGTACTTATTTATGGTTGTCCCATGTGGCTTATGGGATCTTACTTTCCTGACCTGGGATTGAACCGACCCCAACAGTGGAAGCCTCAAATCTTAACCACTGGATTGCTAGGGAATTCCCTAGATGGTATTTAAAGTCATGAAATGGTTGCTATCACCTCAGAGCAGTATAGACCTGGGAAGTCAGAGGTTAAAGAAATAAGCAAGATCCAGCAAAGGAGGCAAAGAAGGAAGAGTAGTGTCCTCTAAGTGACATGAGTGTTTTAAGATTGTGTCAAGTTAAAGTGAGAAGAAGTAACCACTGGACTTAGCAGCAGAGATGGGGAGGAGACCCGGAGCTTAGTCCTATGTGAAAGAGAGAAAGGACACAGGGAGCTGGGGCGTCCCTAGTAGATGTGGGCTCTAAGCCTAGAGGCAAAGGTGGGTTTCAGGATGAGAGAAATCCTGAGGCTTGACTTTGCAACCTGTGGTCAAACGGAGAGGCTGCAGCCAGGGCCTGTCATGGCCCACACGGCGGTGGTAGACTCTCAGGAGGCCATCTTGCCTGGACCTCACATTCATTCTGTGTGATCAGTTTAGACTTTCGATGTTCTCAATGGTTATATATGTAGTCTTTTGTATTTTTGCTCATTAGAATGTCAAATTTTTAGAATAAGAGATTTTTTATAACCATGTTTCTTCCATTTTAAATATATTAGAGTGCTAAGAAGTGAGGCCTGGGCCTTGCTCAACCTCAGAGCGAGGTAGGAAGGTGAGGCAAGTGCAGGGCCCGTGGGAGTTTACACTTCAGGAACCTCTCTGATCTCATCCTAGTCCCAGCCCTCACTACCTCAGACATCACCAGATAGTGTGCCTGCTGCCCACTCCTGGGGGCTCCCACCGAAGTAAGGGGTCCTGGAAAAAGCCGACTGGAGGAGGAACTCTTGCTCTGGGTGGAGGAACAAGCTACCCTGGAGACCTAGTGCAAAGCCGATGGAGAATGACGCGGCCTTTCAGCTCAAAAGTGGCTGCACACTGCCACCCAGTGATCATTCAGGGTAGGAATCCCAGGACTGTTCCCAGAACAGCACTAGCAGAGGTAAGACCAAGACACCAAGCGGAAGACACACACCTCAGTTAGCCGTGAATTTCTTAAAACTGTGGCATTCAAGCCTGATGGAGAGAACCTTATGAAACATGCTGATCTCAAGGCCTCAACCCAGAACGGATCTCTGGGGACTGGGCACAATAATCTATAGAGTCAATGAGCCTGCGGGTGACTCCTGGGAACACTGCAGTATTGAGTAAAAAGCTGCTGTCATAAACTGAATCACACAGTGAGGGAGAGACCTTCCTGGGGCCCCCAGGAGTTAGAGGTTTTCCTGTTGCTCAGACACAAAAAGAAATGAAACTGTTCAACAGGTCTTTATTAACAGAGACAGACAGATGAACAGAGAATGCAGCAAGGGCAGTGTCCAGAAGCTGTGATGGGTGTGTGCACAGAAAAGGCTTTCTCTAGGCCAGCGATGGCCCCTTGGACCTGGGTCCACCTGTCTAGGTACTTGTCTCAGCAGTGGGCCCTGGGCTGAGGCCAGCTTCCCCATCATACCCTGGAGGGAGGTGTGACCTCAGCATTTTCCATTCTCCTGGTTCTCCAGAGGGTAGGGGACAGACCATGAGGATACTTGCATAGCAGGGGAACAAAAAGGGGTAAGGCATATGGTGAGGATGGGAGATGAAGGGGAAGGGCATCATAGCTGCAGATGAAGGGAGCCTCCAAAGGCAGCCCCTCTTCTCCCCCATCCCCCCTAATCAATGGCTGCTGGGCTAAAGGGTCAGACCCAGGCAGTGTGAAATAGCCACCCCCATCCCTAACTCCAGAGCCCTGACTAGGGGCAGAGAGGCTCTGGAGAGGCCTGAGTTAGTGAGTCGAGCTTGTGGGATATGTGTTGGAACATGACTGGCTCCCTTGGTATACGTGGGGCTCCCTCTCTGGATGGGTGTGAATGCTGCCATACACACAGGATTCAGTATCTGAATGTGTGTCTCATGTGTTCCCATGACTCTCTATGTCTGGTTGTATAAGCATGTATGTCCCTGCTCATACATCAGGAGCTCAATATCTGCATGTGGTATGTTCCTGTCTTTTCACATGGGCTCCAGCAAGTGGATGTGTGCGGGCCCGCCCGCTCCTGTCCATCCACAGGTCCTCCTTCAGGCCTGGCTGGTCAGGCGTCCTGGCCGAAGAGGTAGGTGGTGAGTTCCAGCCGGAGGCCCCGGGCATAGGCTCGAAGAGTGTAGAAGAGGGTGAGGAAGTCCTGGGTGCTGAAGACAGTGTCAGCCAGTGCGAAGCCCAGGGTAGAGGGGATGACACCGCGGCCATACTCCACCATCCATGTGTTTGGCCCCCATTCCACAGCCGTTGCTTCACCAGGCCCGTGCACCACCGTCTCCCCTGGGGGGACAGGGAGCAACCACCTGAGGAGCTGGGTCCTGCCCTTCCCTTCCATGGCCACCCCCACCCCCTGCCTATAGGCTCTCTAGGGGTAGGGAATGGACAGGCAGCTTCAGGAAAAGAAAAGCTTTACCTCACTGGTCTGGTTGGGTAAGGGGCTAAGACAGCCACTCCTGAACTTTCCTCTGTGGCATCACCTGGTTCATGTCCTCTAGTAGGGGAAGTCTTACTTAGCCCCACATCACTGTCTGGGAGCCAAGAAGTCTGCATTCCCAAGCCTCACTCATGTCAAGCAGAAGTTTAGCTAAACTTGGGCTGGGCCTATTAGATAGGGTGAGATGAATATGAAACTTGCTAGGCTTTCTGAGAAATGTAGCTGTTCAATTACAATGCCTGCCACCCTTGTTTGTTTGTTTTTTGCTGTGCTATGTAGTATGCAGGATCTTAGTTCCCTGACCAGGGATCTGACCCATGCCCCCCTGCACTGGGAGTGCAGTCGTAACCACTGGACTGCCAGGGAAATCCCATGCCTGCCACGCTTGTAGCATTCAACCTCAAACTTACTTAGCAGTCTTAATGCTTCATTATACAAAAAAGGGGAGAAATCTGTCTGCCTTGTCTTTGGGGCATGACAGCATTTCTGATTACCCACTGACTCCAGTAACTACTGGAATACTGGATGATTAAAAATCAGACATGGTTAACAGGAAGTTATGTTTCCACTTGGACAGGGGAAAGTCACAGAAACCCTCAACACTGTCTCACCAACCACCTGTGGTTTACCTGGTGGGCAAAGGAACTAGGCGGAGGGCCCCTCAACACACCCCCTTTTCCATGGCATGGCTCCTTCCCCCAACTACAGGCACCCAAGAATGAAGAGACCCACCTCTCTGACAAAGTCACCCAACCCACCTGGGTAGAAGACCTCACTTTTAGTAGTACCCTCTCTCCACTGGTGGAAGGTGCCAGAGATGATGGTATCCGAGATCTCAGCCCAGTAGCGCCCTGAGGAACAATCAAATGGACACTGAATACCAGGGTATCCGTAGCATCCTATGGCTTGGCCAAACGACAGAAAGGAGGGCATGGGCCTTTGTACAGCCCCAGCCTCCCAGTCCGGCCCGCCGCCAGCACTGACCCGAGTGGCCGCTAGAGCCCAGAGCGGTGCCGAAGAGCAGCACGTACTCGGACAGGGAGGCGTGCAGAAGGCACATGGCGCCCATCCAGCCTCCCGCGTTCACGAACACCCACTGCAGGTCCTCGTCGGGCAGCACGTGGCCCGGGTGCAGCCGCCGCAGCTCCACGATCAGCCGAGAGAAGGCCAGCTCGTGGTCCAGCCCTGGTGGGGGAAGAGGAACAAGAGTCAGGGCCAGCACCAGTCCGGAACTGGGAAACGGTGCCCCCGGAACCTGCAGCTCGTCCCGGCCCGCCCCAACCCGTGGTCCTCCACCCGTTCACCCGCCGGCTCACCCGCGTACTGCCGAGCCAGCTGCGCGATCTCTTCGTGCTGGAAGACGAAGCTCTGAGTGCCCAGCCAGAGCCAGAGCACCTGGGCCAGCACAGCCGCGACCGCCAGAAGCAGCGCGGCCCACGCCCACCGCCGGCCCATGGCCCAACACATCCCTGTGGGTGGCCTGGCACAGTGCAGCGATGGGGGGTGAGGGGGCGGGAGGCTGTGACTCCCACTGCCTCCGAGTCTGCGGCGCGCGTTCCACTACCCGTTCCCCCGCCACCGCCGTGGTACGGCTCGCCCTGGCCAATCGGAACTGCCAGGGCGCCGGGGCACCGCCTCTCGGGTTGAACCATTATCTCTCCGGGAGCGGGGAGCCTGGAGCTCCGAGGGGGCGGGGCGCCGCCGCGCGCGTCAGGCGAGGGGGCGGGCCCAAGCCCTCGAGCTGCCGGCCTTGGGGCCTCTAGGCGGGGTCTCTCCTAGCGCCGTCCTACTTGCGGTTGGAGGGGATGGCGGTGAAACGCAGAATGGACTGGCCCTCCTGGGCTCATTGACTGGTGAAGCAGGTGAACTCGGAAGCAGAGTCTTCCGGGACTTGTGATGGTAAAGGCCCGATTTTGTTAGCACAGAAGGTGGGAAGGAGGCTGTTCACCTTGGGAACGTATGGAAGGCTTTTGGAGGCGGTGACTCTTGAGCAGTGTCTTTAAGAGCGATGGGAAGGGCATTGCAGTGAGCCATTGAGACCTTCTCCAAGAGCAAAGGTGTGGAAAAGAGACACAGCGTGGGGTTTTCCGGGGGCCGATAATGCCTTCTTTATTCAGAAGCACGAAATGTGAGAGGAGGGCCTTGTAAACCAACTGAAGGTTCTCAGCCGCGGGGGAGTGATAAAGGCAGAGAAGCAGAAGAAACAGAAAAAAGGCAGCATAATGCAGTGATAAGAAAGACTGACTGGATTAAAAACCTGGCCCCTGCCACCTACTAGTTGTGTGATCTTGGACAAGTTATTTAAACTCTTTGTAACTCAATTTTCTCATCTGTAAAATGGGATGAATAAAAGTACATAGTTTAAAAAAAGTACATAGTTTATTGTGATGAAGACTAAACCAGTTAATATTTACAAAGCAATTAGAGTCTGGCATGTGGTGTCATTTGCTAGTTATATAAATAAAACATAAAGGAGAATTGGATGACTGTAGCCTCACACAGAGTGATGGAATGAGAGGTCAACACAGTCAAATATAATTGAGCGGTCCTATTAAATGACGGGAAATGGTCACTGAGTTTCTCAGGAGGGGCATGTAGCAGAGAGGTTGCTATACATTCACAAATCCATTCCTTTTGCTCTTGGGCAGCCAGACTATATTCCAGTCTACTCAGTAGTTAGGCGAGGCCATGTGACTGTGTTCTGGCCAAAGAAGTATAGGCAGAAATGATGTATGCCACTTCAAGGTCTGGCTCCTAAAACCTTCTGTGAAATTATTGACACTCTCTCTCTTGCCTTATCTATTATCATAGTTACGTACGGTTAAGTAGTTAGTGGAGAATTCTGAATGTTGCATGGCACAGAGCGCTTCCTCTCTCCCACAGTGGACTATGGTGCTAAGCCACTGAGTTTGCGGGTTGTTTGTTATGGTAACTTAAGATTATTTATCCTGATTACTAAAGGGCAAAAGACTTGTTACAGTGTACTGTGCAGATAAGAGTAGAGCCTGGGAAGATGGACTATTTTTTTTTTTTTTTGAGATACTTTTAACTAAGAAGGGAAAGATTTAAAAAGGGATTATTGCAAGACTGAGGGAACATGTTTTTGTATTGGCTCTGGCTTCTGTGACACTCCTGAATTGACCATTCTTTAGTATCCCGAGTAGCCCAGAACTCTGGTCTCTGCCCTGCTGTTTTAGGCAGAGCCCTCTGGGCCTGTCCAGCTCTGCAGCTCCCCTACCTGGTCTTTTCGAAATCTTCTCCAGCACATGCTGTTTTTAAAAAAGAGAAAGGCTAATTATTAGAGAGATGCAAATCAAAAGCACACTGAGATATGACATCACATGGGTCACAATGGCCATGATCAAATTGTCTATAAACAATAAATGCAGGACAGGATGTGGAGAAAAGGGAACCTTCCTATCCTATTGGTGTAAGTTTACCAGTAAGTTTACCAGTTGGTACAGCCACTATGGAGAACAGTATGGAGGTTCCCTAAAAAATAAAAGTAGAGCTACCACATGATCCAGCAATCCCACTCCTTTACATATATCCAGAGAAAATCATAATTCGAAAAGATGCTTGCAGACTTCCTTGGTGGTGTAGTGGATAAAAATCTGCCTGCTAATGCAGGGTACACAGGTTCGATCTCTGGTGCAGGAAGATTCTACATGTGGCAGAGAAACTAAGCCTGTGTGCCATAACTACTGAGCCCGCCCGCTGCAACTACTGAAGCCTGAGAGCCTAGAGCCTGTGCCCTGCAACAAGAGAAGCCACCACAATGAGAAGCCGGTGCATCACAACAAAGAGTAGCCCCTGCTTGCTTCAACTAGAGAAAGCCCACACAAAGAGCAGTGAAGACCCAACACAGCCAAAAATAAATAAATAAAATTATATTAAAAAGAGAAAAGATGCAAGTACCCTAATGTTCATTGCAACGCTCTTTACAATAGCCAAGACATGGAATCAACCTAAATGTCCATTGACATGGATAAAAAAGATGTGGTACATACACAGGATGGAATATTACTCAGCCATAAAAAAGGATGAAATAATGGCAACACAGATGGACCTAGAGATTATCATACTAAGTGAAGTAAGTCAGACAGAAACCAGTAACCAAAGCACATATTGCTGGGACTTCCCTGGAAGTCCGTTGGTTAAGACTTCATGCTTCCAATGCAGGGAATGCAGGTTGGATCTGTGGCCCTGGAACTAAGATCCCACATGCTATGGCATTGAAAAAAAAAAAAGGCTGAATATTTGGAAATTCCCTGATGGTCCAGTGGTCTGTGCTTCCACTGCAGGGGGAATGGATTTGATCCCTGGTCGGAGGATTAAGATTCTGTATGCCATGTAGTGTGACCAAAAATAAATAAATAAATAAAATAAGCAAATAGTTTTTTAAAAAAAGCACATAACACTTCCTGTTTTTCTCCATCCTGAACTCCCCTCTGGGCACACTGTTGTGGGGTCAGCTACAGTGGCTGCTGCAGTGGCAATATTTATTGTTATCAGACAACATGCCCTTTCCACAAAAAACAGATCTTTTATCCCTTTTATCCCTTTCCCTCCCTATTTCATGGGCACCCAATGGGATATATAAAGCTCTGGTTTCTCAGCTCCCTGCCCTCTAGTGGTCGGCTTTAGATTTCAGTCCGAGGCCCCTGGGGCAGAGATAAGGTAAATGACCTAAGACCCAGTTTTTACACCTGAGCTCAGCAAAACACCTGGCTTGACCTGGTGTGGCTTGGGGGAAGGGGCCTTCCTGCTACTGCCCAGCTCCTAGCTCACTAAATTTCTTTCTTAAGGTTCACTGAGCAAGTTCCCTGGTAGCCGAGTGTTTAGGATTCTGGGCTCTCACTGCCATGACTCAGGTTCAATCCCTGGTTAGGGAACTGACCATCTTGTGCATGGTCAGTGCACATCCTGTGCCAAAAAAAAAAAAAAAGAAAGGAAGAAAGGCAAGCTCACTGAAGTATCAGAGACATTTCAAAGCATCAAGAAGAGCCTGTCAACTTGGGTCCACAACTCAGTTTGGCCACTTACCATCCTCTGGATGATCTTGAGGTCTCTGTTCTCCACTGCAAAGTGGGGAGGAGGTTCAGGCAATATTTAGATGACTCTATAAAGTGCCAGGGGAGGAATTAATTTGAAGTTTATCCTAGTTTTAGCCAACTGGTTTGATCCAAGGAAAAGTTGGAGAAGGGACAGGATTGTGCAAAGGAAACACTCCTGACCTCACCCAGATGGTTGTTGGAGCTACTGATAGTCCTATCCCCACAATTTCAGGTTTCTTATAGCCTTCTTACCCTGACCACTTCCTATGCTTTGTGTGTGTGTGTACATATGACACAGAGAGAGAGAATATGGTTAGTTAGCCCCCTTTCCCCAAACCTGTTTCTGCTGCCTGGTGGGGCAAGCATATGGTTACAGTGAGGTACCCACTCTTCCAAGTAGTTCCTGAAGCCTGGGTTTAGGTGAAGCGGATCAAACCCCACAGCCCCGTACCCCATCCCCTTGCTTTTCCTCCACCAGAGTCACTGAACAGGTAAGTGAGGTGATTGTGGATCCAGTTATACCCTTACCTGTCCCAGAATGTAAGCTCTGGGAGGGCTGAGACTATGACTTGTGCACACAGGTACATCCTTTTGCACCACATGGAGCCTAGGTTCCTGGCACGCGGTAGATACTCAATAGGTAAATATTTGCTGAATGAATGATCAAATGAATGAGTTAATGCAGCAAAGAAGTCTTTTAAGCATCCTGGAGCTGAGGGATCTGTAGTAAGCAGTTTCACAGAGGCTGTTTCAGGGTAGTTAGTGGCTTTGGCCCTAGAGTGGGATCATCAAAGTCGCCCCCTGTAGGGGTAGTCAGTCCTGAGCCCCGCCCCCAGGTGGCAGGGCGGACCCTCGGGCTGTCACGTGCTGGCGGCTGTCCAATCATCGAGGTCGGGGCGGGGCCGGACAGACGAGGCGATGGGGGCGAAGTGAGCAGGCTCCAAGTTCCAGAAGATACTTCCCCGCCCCCGGTGGCCTCCAGTCGCGCCGCGCAGCGTGTCCTGAGAAGCGCCAGCGGGCGTTAGGGGCGGACGCCATGGCCACAAGCTTCCGGGCAAGCGGTAACTTCAGGGCGGCCGGGACTCGCTGGGACACGAAACTGAACCCTCCCCTTCCTTAGGAAGGGGCCGTCCCTGCCCGCTGGTCGGCGCGCCCACCGGTCCAGGCACGCGCGGCGAAGGGACACGCCGGTGTTGGGGCTGCAGGCTGATTGGCGCTGGGAACGCTCAAGCTGCGGCCTTTAGCTCTTGAGCAGGGTGGGGCCAAGAGCGTGCATCCGAGCTTGGGCCTTCTGCAGGGGAGAAGAGGGTGGAGAGCTGTGTGACTGATCTGGACTCTCTGCCGCCAGAGCATCAGCATATCCGCTACAACCCGCTGCAAGATGAGTGGGTGCTGGTGTCAGCGCACCGCATGAAGCGTCCCTGGCAGGGGCAGGTCGAGCCCCCGCCTCTGACGACAGTACCCCGACATGACCCCCACAATCCTCTCTGTCCGGGGGCCACACGGGCCAATGGAGAGGTCAGTCTTTAGATCCTACATCTGCAGGCTTGGCGGGCGGTGGCGGGGTGGGAGTAGGGGAAGTAGCTCCGTCTCCTTTCCCTTACAGCTTCCCTTCACCCCACAGAGGAATGGACCCTAACCCTTCACCTCACAGGGGGAGTGGACCTCCTTCTGGGTCATATCCCACCAAATCTTTTTGACCTCAGAGTGGCCTTCCCCACCTAGTTATAACCTTGAGACCCACCGGATGCCTGGTGGCACGGGCCAGCAGAGGCTTCTAGCCCGTCCTTGTCTCTAGGTGAATCCTGACTATGAAGGCATCTTCCTGTTTGACAATGACTTCCCAGCTCTGCGGCCGGATGCCCCTAGTCCAGGTAACCTGGCTCTGGATGCTGTTGGGGAGCAAAGAGGTTGTACCTTGTTGGGGGACTTCTGCTGCAGAGAGTGATACCCCTTTATCTTAGGACCCAGTGATCACCCCCTTTTCCAAGCAGAGGCTGCTCGAGGAGTTTGGTAACAATGAATTTCTACTCTTACACCCTTCAACCTGGGGCCTGGACTGAATACTCGGATTGGGCCCTACCCCCAAACACAGCAAGCCCTATACCTAAGTCACCTCTCCTTCCTTCACCACCTAGTAAGGTCATGTGCTTCCACCCCTGGTCGGATGTGACACTGCCACTCATGTCAGTCCCCGAGATCCGAGCTGTCGTTGATGCGTGGGCCTCAGTCACAGAGGAACTGGGTGCCCAGTACCCTTGGGTGCAGGTCTGTGAGGTTGCTCCCTCTACTAGATGGTCAGGGAACGGGTGGTACAGTTTGGTTCTGGGAATTGGCACTTTTATTTCCATGGGCTGTGGTTGGGAGGGGTTGACTTGGTATCTTTTTGGCTATAAAGCTCCCTACTCCTACCTCGTAGATCTTTGAAAACAAAGGAGCCATGATGGGCTGTTCTAACCCCCATCCCCACTGCCAGGTAAGAGTGTGAGGGGCTTCCATAGATATCTGGGCTGAGTCCAACCCAGCACTGTGGGGTGGGGAACCGGAGTAAGGGAAGGGCCAGAGGACATATGCTACTGATGTGGAGGCTCAGGGGGTGAAGGATCTGCCTGCTCTTCTTCTGCCCCTTGACAGGTGTGGGCCAGCAGCTTCCTACCAGATGTTGCCCAGCGTGAGGAGCGATGTCAGCGGGCCTATCAGAATCAGCATGGAGAACCCCTGCTCATGGAGTACGGCCGCCAGGAGCTGCTCAGGAAGGTGGGAGAAAGCCAAATCTTGTGTCCCTAAGAAGCCCCTAGCCTCACCCCAAAAGGAGAGGTGTGTGAAGGAGAACGGTAGAAGGGAAGTAGCAGAGAGACTTGCTAGGAGGACACAGCAATAAGCTAAAAGAAAGATAATGAAGGCTTAGACTAGGGTGGTAGTGATAGAGGTGGTGAGAAGCCATCAGTTTCTGCATAGGGTTTTTGGTCTTCCCTTACCTGTTTGCTGGCTTCCTCACGCCCACCTTGATGACATCATTTCTGCTGGGTTGGCCTAGGAACGTCTGGTCCTAACTAGTGAGCACTGGTTAGTTCTGGTCCCCTTCTGGGCAGTGTGGCCCTTCCAGACACTACTGCTGCCCCGCCGGCATGTGCGGCGGCTGCCCGAACTGACCCCCGCTGAGCGTGACGGTGAGTCTCCCAACTGGGCCCCTGGGGCCAGGCTTTGGCGGGGGATGGCTCTGGTGGGGACAGCATCTGCGCCCCAGACTGAGAGTCAGGCTCTGATTCTAGATCTATCCTCCATCATGAAGAAGCTCTTGACCAAGTATGACAACCTATTTGAGACATCCTTCCCCTACTCCATGGGCTGGCACGGTGAGGCTTCCAGAGTATCCATGTCTATCCCCAACGCCATTTCTGGGCTCCTGGGTCCTGGCTTAGTGGACTGCCACTCCCAGCAGGCCTTGGAACACTTGCTGGGGAAGCCTTTAGAGCAGATATGCCGGAACTGAGGGTGGAGGCACGAACTTAGTGAAACTATGTCTCCCAGTGCACCTTTCGGTGCCTTGTCTCTCTGGCAGAGAATGCTGGAAAATGTAGTTTTCAGGTACCTGCTATGGTTTGGGGAGCTAGGCTGAAGAACTAAGAAAGGACCCTTCCCAACCATCTCTGCCTTCTTTCTATCAGGGGCTCCCACAGGATCAGAGGCTGGAGCCAGCTGCGACCACTGGCAGCTACATGCTCATTATTACCCTCCACTCCTGCGCTCTGCTACAGTCCGGAAGTTCATGGTTGGCTATGAAATGCTTGCCCAGGCCCAGAGGGACCTCACCCCGGAGCAGGTCAGGACTTGGAACACCCTGGATCCTTGGGTCCCCTGTTCTCTCCTTTTTCCTCTAGGGATCCCAACAATCATGACCCTGAAAACCCCCATAACTTGGGTATTCCTGAGGACTCCAGAGCTGCTCAACTCCTTCATCTCTGGCTATTCCAGCAGTCCTTCTCACCAACCTCCCCGCCCCACACACCCTCCCCAGTGTCTAGTGTCTTCTCACACTCAGAACTCCATACCCCATTCTGGGCAAACATTACCGTCCCTAAATATCCCCTTTCCCCCTTCCAGGCTGCAGAGAGACTAAGGGCACTTCCTGAGGTTCATTACCGCCTGGGGCAGAAGGACAGGGAGACAGCAGCCATCGCCTGACCACGCTGACCACAGGGCCTTCTGCCTGCGGACCAGGGCTTAGAGTTTGGGCAGATGTGGGATCAATAAAACTATGCTTCTCAAACTTTAATCACATATTCTAATGCCAGAGGAGTGTGAACTCTGATCCCTGGGGGTCTGGGGTTAAAGGCTGAAGGCATAGCTCCAGCCAGAACTTTTCTTTGTCAACTTTTTTGCTTACTCAGTCACTCAGTTGTGTCTGACTCTTTGCGACCCTTTGGACTGTAACCCACCAGGTTCCTCTGTCCATGGGATTTTTCAGGCAGGAATACTAGAGTGAGTTGCCATTTCCTCTTTCAAGGGGATCTTCCCGACCCAGGGATTGAACCCACGTCTCCAAGAGATGTGCAAAAATTTAAGAGTGCGACCTTCCCACCTCTCCTTCGCCCCAAATCTCTGAACAAAATTAATACTCAATGTCGTGTGTGGCTTATAGAGTCTTTTACTCCTAGGGTAACTAAGGCAGCCCAGTTTAAAATTGTTTTAGAATCCTTTGTTCTTATCTTTGGCTGAGGCTTTGGGAAAGCCAGAGCCTCCCTTGCACCATCCCTAGGGTGTCAACTCACCAAGCCTGGGGCTGAGGGTTTGGTGGGCATCAGGCGAGGAGGATCCTAGTCCCAGTGGTCAGTGGCCAGGCCCTGGGCCGCCTGCCAGAACCCTGGCTTTGTGAGCGGCTGCATCTTGGCTCTGCTCCAGGCCACAGGGGCTGAATGGGCGGGCAGGGAACGTGTACGTGGCTTTTTGTCCTTGGCCTTTCCAGACTCCCACATGCAGCATGTATGCATAGTGTCTGCACACCTCTGTTGCCCCTATGCCCCAGTCGTTGCAGAGGACAGAAGACAGCCCTGGCAGGGAGGGGCTGCCAGAGTTAGGATCCCTGAGGCCTGGAAGGAGGGCATGGTTTGCAGTGACTCTGGGTCCAGCCCCGCTTCTCTGGACCTGTTTTCCTGGCAAGACTGTAACTGCGGCAATGACAAGTCATACAACCCAGGAGATGTGATGCACCTAGGGTCCTCCAAACATTTAGGTGAAGTCAGGAGCTTGTGAGTGATGCAGGAATGGCTAGAACACTTTTTGTCTTCTTTCTTTCCAAGGGAATTGAGTCTCCGGGAGGGGAAATCACATCAGGCAGTACTTTAATACCCTGACCCAGGAGAACCTTTGTTGCCTTCCAGCCCCTGGTCCTGTCTTCCTAAAGACCCTGGAGGGGAAGGGTCAACTTGGAGTGTTGCCCTGTTTTGAAGAAGCTCAGACAAACGTGGCACGCATTTTTCCTTGAGCCCCCATTGACTGGGGAATGGAACCCTAGATGGGCGGCTAGTTTCTTAAGACATACATTCCTATCACACACACACACACACACACACACGCACGCACGCATATTTGATCCTACACCTTTGAATGGCCTGCATTTGGGAGTCATCCGGGGAGTTTTAAACAGTACTGATTTAATTGGAGTGTGGCTTGGCGGTTATAAAACCACAATGTCCAGTGACGTTTGAGGCCCACCGCCTTAACAGCAGTCCACCTCCTTGTCTTATCTGGAGTCAGGGGCACCTTCAGCTTCCCCGGTCACCTGCCCAGTAGCTCCTAAGCCACAAAACCTGAGGCTTTGTTTGCGGACAGCTGGGAGGGGGAGGGGCCTGGGAGCTTCGGGTCCCGCGGTCCCAGGAGGAGGGGCTTTCGGGGCCCGGACCCAGGAACCCAGCTCCACGCTCTGTCCCCCGGCGGCAGCCTCCTCAGTCCCGGACGGGACAGGAAGTGTCCGGCCGAGGTGGGGGTGGAGGTGATTGGCAGTTGGAGGCTCCAATGGGCCGAGACCCCCCCTATTTTACCCTGCTCCTTCCATTGGCGCCTGGGCGGAGCCGCCCCCACGGCGGGGCCCCAGGGCGGGAGGGAGTCGAGGCCGGGGCAGAGGGCGAGGGCGAGGGCGAGGGCGGAGGGCGCTGGCGGCGGCGGCCGCGGAAGGTGAGGCCTGATGGGGCCGCGGGTGAACTGGCGGGAGCCTGGCCAGGAGAGGGCGGGGCAGGGGGGTGTGGGATTGAGCGACTGACGGACTGTCAGTGTGCGTGCGTGTGTGTGTTTGTGTGTGTGTGTGCGCGCGCGTGTGAGACTTCCAAGGCTGTGTGTGACGATGTCAGTGTGCGAGACTTCACAACAGAGTCGCTTGGTGCAGATGCCAGCTAGCATGCCTGCGGGTGTCGCTGCGCTTATGGCCGAGTCTGCATGTGGCTGTGCGGGTGTGCGATTCCGTGTGCGTGTGTCAGTGTGCGGTGTGGGGGCAGAGGCTGGGTCAAGCTTTTGTGCGGTGAGACGGCTCGTGAGCACACCGGGGCGACTGTGGTTTGGGAAGGTCTCTGCGAGATATGAGATCGCGTCTGCCAGCGTGAGAGTGCCTGGCTGGGTTTGTGTGTGCTCAGGTGTGACTTCAGCCGTGGCCGAGTAAGGATGGGACTTGCACTCCACGTGTGTCCTATGTCCTGACTGTTAGACTGGGGAGGGATGGAGCTGGGTTTGCATCTTGGGGACCCACTTCTGTAGGTAGCTGATGACACTGACCTTTCTACTCAATCGCCTGTGTGGACAGACCCATCCCAACACACTTCGCTTCCCCTTCTTTTAGTGCTCCTTTGTCACTGGCCCCTTGATCCTTATTTTCTGTTTCCCTGCCTGACTCAGTTTTCTATGTCTTTTTCTCTCCCTATTACTTTCTTCCTAGAGCTCACATTCTGTATCTCTTCACAGTTTCGTCTCCCCAGGGATCTCTGCTAAGAGCCCCTTGGAAGAAGAGGCTTAAACCCTGATGAGGATTTGCTCACAGGGAGTGCTGTGACCCCCATCCCAGGGGCGGAGTGCTAAGTGTGTGTGTGACTGTGCAAGGAAGACTTCGATGTCTGTGTCTTTGTGCGTGTCTGGGAATGTGTAAGTGTACGTGTCTCAGTGTATCGGTGTAACTGTGAGTGGCTGTATCTGAGAGTGTGTGTCTGAGGGTAAGTGTGGGTCTTGTGAGTCTGGCACCAGGGACCAAAGGCATTTCCTGGTGCTGGGGCCTGGAGAGGAGAGGAGGGAGGTGAGAAATGGCTGGAACGTCCAGGGGAGGAGGAAGCTGGACTCTTTGGCTTTTCTTTGTATCCCTCAAAATGGGGCCTCTCTTCCCCTTAAAACACAGCCAGCTGTACCCTAAGGAAATATTTGCTGGGAAGCTAATAAGAAAAGAGTGGGAGCACAAGTGTGTGTCTGCTTTTTCGTTTGACTGTCCACGTGTGTTCAGGGGAGTGTCTTTGTTGATGGTGCCTAGGGAATCCCCCTGTGAGCGTGGCCGTGAGAACACAGGGAACCTCTCACTGACAGGGACAGAGCAGCCCTCCTTTCTCTGGCTGTGCCTGGCTGTTTCTGTGGCTTCCTTTCCAGACTTGGGGGAGGCCTCTTCCCTTCCCAGGGCCTTGGGTGAGAGGGGGTGGGAGGGGAGGCGGGAGGAAGGGGAGGGGGCCTGGCTAGGGGCCGGCGGAGCTGCGGGGGTGCAGAGGGGCGGGGGCAGGGAAGGGGAAGGAGGGGACGATTCTGGGGTCCCAGAACTGAGTGGAGCTGAGACGGTACTGTAGCTGGTGGGAGGAATTCCTGGAGGCCATGGACAGTCAGCCACTGGGATCACCGAGGTAGGGCAGGGCTGAGCAGGGTAAATGTGGCTGGGGGGCTGGGATGAGCCACTGGACACCCTTGGACAGACACACAGACACTTAGAGGTCCCTGCTCAGTTCTGTGGGTGGGGGGGATTTGGGCTCTCCCTCTTCTAGAGCCCTTGCCTGGGGCCCTTTCCCCATCTGTCCCTTCTCCTGCCCCAGTTCCCACCTCCCCACTGCCTTCCTCCTCCTGTTTTCTCCCAGCCTGAATCCCTCTCTTGTAGCACCCCAATCCCCCACTCATATACAGTTGGTTATGTTTTCAGCCTTTGTGAGATCCTGCTGCCCTAGCCCAGCCCTCACCGCCTCCCAGTTCTGATCTCTGGACACCTCTGGTCCCATGGCCCCCACCCCAGCCTCCTGTTCCCCCAGGCTCCTAGCTCCTCTCAGCCTCCTCTCCCCTCCCGCCACCCTGTCTCCATCTGCTGGCTCCTCGCCCACCCCAGCCTCTGGCAGCAGCCCGGGCATCTGGATCTGCTTAACTCTGCAGCCTCAGCCTGCACCCTAGCCCTGTCCAGCCTTCCAGGCTTGAGACCAACAAGATTCCAGAGTCAGGCTCAGAGGAGCGGCCCAAATAGCAAGAGCAAGGGGCCAGGCTTGGCAGCCAGTGCAGGGCTTGGCCTCCTGGCATGGGAGCGGGGTGGGCTCAGACCCACCCTTATCAGTCCCCGCCCCAGGGTGACAAGGGCGGCCACAGGTCAGTCAGAGGCAGCGGCTGTCCCTGGGCCAGGTGGGAATGGACACGAAACTCCCAACAGCTGGATTGGAGGAGTTAATGGGGGTGATGGAGCCTGAGCCAGCGCTTGGTGCCAGGGGTGGGCGCCAAGGGTGGTGCGGGGGTGGGGGGGGGGCGGTGCTGGCAGAGACTCTTGCCTCCGGCTTTTGTTCTGGGCCCTAAGCCCATGACTGAGAAGGAGGGTGTGATGGGGTGTGATAGGGTGTGTGTGTGTGTGTGTGTGTGTGTGTGTGTGTGTGTGTGTGTGTGTATACTCACACACAGCACTAGGTGTATGGTGGAAAGGGGACCTTACATCAGAGCCTCCAATGATGTCTGATAGCTTTACCCCACATGGAACCTCTTCCTCCTAGAAAGCCCCAGTTTGGAAGTGGAGGAGGCAGGCTTTAGCCTCCCGTCTTGGGCATGGGGTATCTCTGACCTTGCCTTTCGCCCGCAGATGAGCAGCAGCTGCTCAGGGCTGAGCAGGGTCCTGGTGGCCGTGGCTGCAGCCCTGGTGTCTGCCTCCTCTCCCTGCCCCCAGGCCTGGGGCCCCCCCCCAGGTGAGAAAAACCCTGCTCTATGACCCCCAACTCTGATTTGTGATGCCAGCAGCACTGTGGCCCCTTCTCAGGCCTGTCCCGTGACCCTCCCAACCGCTGACATCCAACCCGGCAACAGTCCCTCTCCACCCTGCCCTTTGAGCTCTGTCTTCAGATTATAACATGATGCTTTGACCGTATGACCCCACTCGGGTCTTAAAAGTTCCCCCCTTATCCTGTCACTCTCACAAAGTGTGGGGTAGGATGGGAGAGAGGGAAAGGAAGAGCCTCTGCTCAGAAGTGCCTTCCGCAGGGGTCCAGTATGGGCAGCCTGGCAGGGCCCTGATGCTGTGTTGCCCTGGAGTGACTTCTGGGTAAGTGCTCCACCGGCCTGTTGGGCTGATGGAACCCTCTCACGACGCTTTCTTGACCTTTCCCAGTCCTCAGACCCTCCCATCCTTGCCCCTTGTATCTGTAACCTTCACCTCTCTGTCTTAATCCTCAAACCATCCTTATTCAACCGAACCCTCAACCTACACGTACTGAGTGCCTGCTAATTGCCTGGTCTATTCTAGCTAGACCTGGGATACAGCAGTGCACAGGCCAGGCAAGATGCCAGGTAGTAACATACCTGCAGGGCAGAAAATCAGAAGGGAGTGATGTGGAGGAGGCGAGCTGAGTGATCCCTTCTTAAGGTCATCAGGGAAGGCCCCTCTGAGGAGGTGATACATATATGTTTTATGTGGTTGCACTGGGTCTTAGTTGTGGTATGTGGGGTCTAATTCCCTGATGAGGGATCAAACCTGGGGCCCCTTGGGCCCCCTGCACTGGGAATGTGGAGTCTTAGACACTGGACCATTAGCGGAGTCCATGAAGAGGTGATGTTGAAGGTGATTTCTGAAGGTTATGGTATAAGCAAGCATTCCTGACAGAACAGCTAGTGCAAAGCCCTGAAGTGGGAGTGAGTTCCATACTTTTTAAAAATATCAGATTTGTAAACTTTTACAATTTATTTATTTTTGGCCATGCCCTGGTTTGCAGAATTTTAGTTTCCCGACCAGGGATCAAACCTGGGCCCTCAGCAGTGGAAGCACAGAGTCCCAACCGCTAGACCACTAGGGCATTCCTGAGCTCCACAGTCTTGAGCTGAAAGAAGCATAACCTAACTGAAGTGCAGTGGTGGAAGGGGAGAGAGGGGGGTGATGAGGAAGAAAAGTGAGCTGAGGCCTAGAGCACCAGGGGCTTTGTAAGCCAGCAAGCGGAATTTGAATTTTACCACAAGCACACCAAGAAGCCAGGGGAGAGCTATGGCACGGTCTGACTCGTCCTTTGACTCTTCCTTCCGTCTGTCATCATCTCATCTCACTCTCAGGGCCCCGGTGTCCTGGTTTCGGGACGGGGAGACAAGGCTGCTCCAGGGACCTGATTCTGGGCTAGGGCCCGAGCTGGTCCTGGCCCGGGCAGAAAGCACTGACGAGGGCACCTATATCTGCCGGACCCTGGACGGTGCACTTGGGGGCATGGTGACCCTGCGGCTAGGCTGTGAGTTGGGGAGGAGTGCTCTGGGGGGTGATGAGGAGTGGAGCTCCGAAGGGACTTCGGGCCCAGAGGAAGACCTCTGGGATGGGGAGGGCCTGGGAACTTCTCATTCCCCAGCTGCACCCTCTGCCTCTAGACCCTCCGGCCCGCCCCGTTGTTTCCTGCCGAGCTGCCGACTACGAAAACTTCTCCTGCACCTGGAGTCCCAGCCAGGCTAGCGGTTTACCCACCCGCTACCTCACCTCCTACAGGTGTGTGCAGCGTCGGGTGTGTATCCCTGTATGTTTGGGTGTATAGCAAAACGTGGGTGTGGGTGTAGGTAGGGAGGTACTGAAGGAGGCCGGAGAGAGAGGGAGGACCCTCCTTTCCTTCCTGACCTCGGATGACCTCTCCCCTGTCAGGAAGAAGACTGTGCCGGGAGCTGATGGCCAAAGGTAGGACGTGAGGGGGAAGCTGGGGGCTCCAGCTGGATCCCGCAGCGAGCATTTCCAGAGTTCAAGACCACATCCTTCCTCCTAGGATGAGTCCATCCACAGGGCCCTGGCCATGCTCACAGGACCCCCCTGGGGCGGCCCGCTGTGTAGTCCACGGGGCAGAGTTCTGGAGCCAGTATCGGATCAATGTGACGGAAGTGAACCCCCTGGGGGCCAGCACCCGCCTGCTGGATGTGAGCTTGCAGAGCATCTGTGAGTACCCAGTCCTAGAGGGCTCCCCAGATCCCTACCACAGAGACGCCGGATTGGACCTCAGAGTATAGACCCCCGCATAATTCATAACCCTCCTCCGGCTGCGCTCCCACACAGTTCCCTCCCAACACAGGTCCATTTCAGCACACAGATGGCCCCCAGCGAGACTTCGGAAGAATCCAGAGATCAGAACCCTAGGAGGCTGGGTTACATCAGCTTCAGGAGGCTACTGCCACCACCCCCTTCCCTTACAAGTCCTTCCTGGCTGCCCAACCCCAGTGCTGTCTCTCTGCTTCCAGGCCCAGTGCTGAAGGCAGCTCCATCTCACATCCTCCCTGCTCAGTGGAAAGCCCTTGCTGGCTTCCTCTTGATCTGTGTGTGGGAGGGGATCACGAAGGCTCTGGCTGGAATTTGGGCCAACTCATCTGCCTTGGAGGGAAAACAGCTCACTCTTTAACTCACTCAACAAACATTTCAAAAATCCATCCTCAGATAACAGGGATGACAGATAAATCCTGAGCCTAAGGGATGATCAAGCCGAATATTTCCCCAAGTTCCTCCGCAGTGCCTCCCCTCTGGGACTCTTAGGCACACACCCGCCTTCCCTTGCGGGGTGATGGGGGAAGGATGAGTACTTCTCCGTACCCTGACTTTGTGCCCCCCCCTCCCCTTTCACCTGCCCTCAGTGCGCCCTGACCCGCCCCAGGGGCTGCGGGTAGAGTCGGTGCCTGGCTATCCTCGCCGCCTGCGTGCTAGCTGGATGTACCCTGCCTCCTGGCCCCGCCAGCCCCACTTCCTGCTCAAGTTCCGGCTGCAGTACCGCCCAGCACAGCATCCAGCCTGGTCTACGGTGAGGCCTTGGCGTGCGCCCTGGTCTGGGGCTGTGGGTCCTGTCTCTAGTTTCCTGTTGCTGGCGTTCTGCGTGACCAGATCTGGCAGGTCACTGATGCCCCCTGGGCTCCCCACCTACAGAGCAGTCTCCCTAGGCCAGGCCTTGTCACAGGGACTGCGACTCCGCCCAACGCCCTCCAGGGCTGTAACTGTTGTCAGCCCATCTGGGGGTAGATAGCAGTGACTTTTTAAAAATAACTTTTCTAGGAAAGGGAGGGCCTTTCACCCAGAGGCACACACCCTGATATACTCATGTGTGAATAAAGGTGAATTCCCACCTCTGGAGGTGGTAGAGATTGGCTAGCATCAGGCCCGGTGAGCTGCTGCCTCAGATAATAACCAATATTTACTGAACACTGCCAAGCACCGTGCTTCACATTTACTGTCTCCTTTAGTGGGCTTCCCTGGTGGCTCAGAGGTTAAAGCGTCTGCCTGGAATGTGGAGACCCCGGTTCTATCCCTGAGTTGGGAAGATCCCCTGGAGAAGGAAATGGCAACCTACTCCAGTACTCTTGCCTGGAGAATCCCATGGAGAGAGGAGCATGGTAGGCTACAGTCCATGGGGTCGCAAAGAGTTGGACACGACTGTGCAACTTCACTTTCTTTCTTTCTTTCTTTCTTAGGTGTACTATCTCCTTTAGGTGTATACATGTACTATCTCCTTTAGGTGTATTCACCTCTATTTTACAAATGGAGAAACTGAGGCACAGGGAGAGGCCCACGTTCACTCAGTAAGTGGTATAGCAAAGATCTGAATCCAGGCAGTCAGCCTGAAATCACAGCCTATCTACAGAACCACCATGCACTTCTGTCTTGTGAACGCTAGGTGTAGACCTGACACCACCAGCCACCCTGTATGAGGCTCAGAAGGCTGCATCAGACTGACAGGGACAGGACTGGGAGGCAAGGGTGCTTTTTGCAGACTGAGGCTGGAGTGGGGTGGGAGGGCAGGAAGGCTGAGTGCTTATAACTGGATAACCTGCCAGGCAACTATCTGCACTCCCAGGTGGAGCCAGCTGGATTGGAGGAGGTGATCACCGACGCCGTGGCTGGGCTGCCCCATGTCGTGCGGGTCAGCGCCCGGGATTTTCTGGATGCTGGCACCTGGAGCTCCTGGAGCCCCGAGGCCTGGGGGACTCCAAGCACCGGTGAGACACAGAGCCTGAGGAAAGGGCAGAGGCCAAGCCAACTAGTATCTGTCTGCAGGGACTATCTGGCAATTGCCCCGCCCTAGCTTAAGCCCCGCCCTAGCTTTAACCCTGTCTCTCAGCCTTTATCCCTACTTACTGGCTCTGCCCCTTCAAACTCTGCCTCCTAGGCACCACAGGGCCCAACCCTGGCCCTGGCCTCTCCTGGCGCCTCGCAGGCCCTGGCCTCTGCCCCCACCCGTCGTGGGCAGTTCTCAGGTCTCATCTCCCCCCAGAGCCCCTACCGAAGGAGATACCAGTTGGGGACCAGCAGCACACACAGACAGAGGAAGAACCTCAGGCGGACAGCCCCGCTCCCCCAGGGCCGTCCCTTCTACCTGACCCTCGGCCACTTGGTGAGCTTGAGCAGATGGGCAAAGGTGGGAGAGAATGACAAAGCCCCAGGGAAAAGGGGACACCGAGTTTGGTCAGGCAGGCTTGCTCTTGTAGCTGACATGTGACCCTCCGCCTCAGACCATAGAGACCCCCTGGAGCAGGTGGCCGTGCTGGCATCTTTGGGAATCTTCTCTTTCCTGGGACTGGTGGCTGGGGCCCTGGCATTGGGGCTCTGGTAAGTGACTGGCCCCTTAGCCTCTGATCCCACACAGATGCTCTGATACCCACAGACCACACCCATTCCAGCCCCTCATGACCCCAATCCCAGCATATCTGATTCTGGAACCATTCCTCCTCCCTCTTCCACTCCCAACTTCATGATTCTACTCTTTCCTCTCTTGACCCTTTACTAATAAAACCTATTTGGAAGAGTCTGAGATGCCCCACATTGTTAGGGAGACAACTTTTTTTTTGTGCTCTAGGCTAAGGTTGAGACCAGATGAGAAGGATGGACCCCAAAAATCTGGGCTCTTGGCCCCAATGATTTCAGTGGACAAGCTTCCAGGTGAGTGTGACATCTGGGAGGTTTGGACTTGGGAGATGTGTGACCTTATTTTGACTGTATGGATTAAGAGCCACATGCTTTAATCCTCATAAGGGTTTTGGGAATCAAAAGGTGGGTCTCCTCATTCTTATGACTTCCGGACTCAGAGATGGGCCTTTCATTCTTGAGTCCCTGGGCTTAGAGTTGGGTCTCTTCTGTCTCTTGCAGGATGCTGGGGCTCCTAGATGGGACTCCTTCATTTTCAGGGTATTATGCTCAGAGCTGGATGTCCATCTTTATTCCTGGGGTATCTGGATCCCCTCCCCTGTTCTTGATGTGCCTGGGCCCAGAGCTGGATCCACTCCCTCATCCCCAGGGTGTTGGGGCTTATCCAAAAGTTGGCAGCTTACCCAATAGGTTGCCCTATTCATTCTTGGAGTGTTGGGCTCATAACTGGGTCCCCTCCCTCATTCCCAGGGAATCTGGGACAAGATATAGTTCTACCATCTCCCTTGATTTCCCTCTTTCTTGTAGGAGTCCCAAACCTGTAGAGGACCTTGGAGGCCTTCAGCTGATTCCACCTATAATGCTGGTGTGGATGGATGGACAGATGGAACCCAGGCAGGACAGCAGATCCCCATGGAGGCGGGTTCTCAGCTGGAAGTTCTGTTTGGACCCATTTCTATGAGACTCTGTGTTCCCAACTTGCCAGTTGAAAGGTGCCTGGACCTCTGACTTCATCCCAGAGCTGGAGGTCTACCTGAAGAATGTGTGTAGATGTGTATGTCTGTGTGTCTCCAAGTGTATGTGAGGCAGGGGACATGTGTTCTCTGCATGTATGTATATAGGTACCTGGTGAGTGTGTGTGGGTCTTATGCTCTTGGCTTTGCCCCTGGCGGGAGTTGTGAGGGTGTGAATAAAGAGAATGAGGAGGTTCTGTCTGTTGACATGTCTCACAGCTCCAGATTCAGGACTCACAGGAGATTGCATCGAACTTGGAGACCACAGTCAGAGAATATTGTGCATCGCTGCTTTATTACTTTGGCTACTGGGGGTCCCAGCCCATTTTCCCTATGAGCTCCAAACTCTGGTTGGGCTGAGTTCCCTGGAGCCTCTTCCCTTGGCGCTCAAACCACCGAATCAGGCTGCGGTTCTGGGGGTGGATGCACACCTTGCGTTGAGACAGGTGAAGCCTGGGAAAGGAAAGGTTCAAAGCCACGGTCATAACTGGGGGGACGAGGGTGAGACCCAGGAGTTAGAGGCAAAGGCCAAATGAAAACCTGAGTTGGCATCAGAATTAGCAATTGGGATGGGGTTGAGATCAGCATCCAGAGTTGGGACTGAGGTCAGAGTCAGGGACAAATCGGGGCAGAGTCAAAGCTCACACGAAGGCCTGGAGGTGACAGTCCCCGTCAGCTTCCTGAAGTTCCACTCGGATGACCCTCCTCAGTAGCTTGTTTGGGAGTGGCTGTCGGTAGAGCTGAGTACAGCATGCAGGGCTGAATGGCAGTAGCAATGCTAGGGGAACAGGACCGTGTGTTCAGAGGGCTTCTGGCCCCAAACTCCATCAGAAGGCTGGAGGCTGGGCTTCCTGGGCCCCTTCCCCTCCATCCCAATCACCCAAATCCGGGCCTTCTAGACCTCCACTCACTCACCTCCTCCAGGGTCTGGGCTCAGGAACAACAGGAACAGCAGGAGGCCGCTGGTGGGCGAGGGTCCCTTCATGATGCTCAGCCTGGATGCTTCCTTCTCTCTCCTCCTTCCCTACCTGTTATCTGGGTGCCTTTTATACCTGGGGCACCAGGTGAGTCAGCCGCAGGTGAAGATGTATTGCTCATCTTGTGACACTCCTGGGCTCTAATTACCACAGACCCCTGTGCCACAAACCCCTCCTTTTTTAGGACTGCCGTTTCCCATGGGCTTCTAAGTTCTGGGCAGAGAAGCTGGGGAGATGGGTTATGCACGTGGGGGCCGATGGTACAGTAAGGGGGGGCAGAGGATCCATAGTGGCATCCAGTGAGGACATTCACACTCATACCTGTAGTTACCCATTCACAGTCACACCTCAGTCACTGGATCAACCTCACATGGTCAGACAACCCCAAACAGAATCACAGTTATACTCAAAGTCCCACTCCCACACAGTTGTGTTTTCACAATCATCCCACCACACTATCACACTAGCATACCCAAATTCTGATGGGGGCACTGTGGGTAGGGTGGGAGCACAGGGCAGGCTGGCACCAGCTTGCTTTCGTTTTCCCCTCCCTGTTTCCTGTCCTAGCCTGCTTGTCTTATCAGCAGACATTGATGGGAATGGGTCCCGAAAGCAGACCTTTTGGCTGAGGAGTCGTCTCACCTGGGCCAGTCACATTCAGAGTGAGAAGCTGGGAGAAGTCCCTTTTGGGTGGTAATGTGGTGCCTTGGGGATAACTGAGGTGCGGGTTGCTTTTCCCAGGAAGATGAGACAGAGGAAGGATGAAGTAGATAAGAGCGCACATGAGGGAAGATCAAAGTTCTTTGGTGCCAGGTTGCTGCTGTCAAACATGTAAAAGACCCAAGAAACCTTACCTTCCTGTTTTTGCCAAGTCCTGTTCCAGAGATGCCAGCCTCCTACCAGCAGGGGCCTGGGGCTTCCAGTCCTTGACTTTTTGAGACATCAGATTCCAGAGCTCAATTATCTCTCCTTTATTCTATTCAAATTCCTTTTTCTCTCTATTGTTGGCCTGGAAGAACCACCACCCCCACAACCAACCCTTACACCCTTTGCATCCCATACTCTTGCTAAAACCCCAAGCTCCCATCTCCTTCCTGTCCCTTCTCCTTTAATCCTGTATCCAGCCCTTACCTCCTCTTCCCCTTAATCCCTCCACCCCAATGCAAAACTATGCCTCCTCTTCCTCCTCCGGTCCTTTCCAGGAAGCTGAGACCAGCAAAGGGTGGGGGCAAGTTGCTAACTTTAGTGCCCTCGGCACCTTGAAGAATTTTCCACTCTCGGTCTGGAAATTTCAACCCTCCTGTCCTGCTCTCTAAGTGAAACGTAAACCGAGTCATAACCCAATAATCCAGCTCTTATCTGGTTGCTTCAGGGATGCGGTCTGCAACCTTGTGCTCTGTGACCAGCTACCTACCCTCTGTGGGGCAGACCTACTCTTGGGACAGGGACTCACACTCCCCTGGGCATCTTCCTTCTGCACCAATCAGAAGGGACCATCAGCTCCCAGAATAGGGACTAATTCCCTACCAGGCCGAACAACTCGAGCTTCTCCTCATGCTCCTGTCCAGGTTAAGGCTCAGAGGTCCTTCCCTAGAGTCTGTTTTGTGATATTCAGGAAGTCTGAGTATCCTGAGGATTCTGAGGTTTAGGTCCAGGGTTGGATAGGGTACTCCACTTGGGTCAGGGTTCTTGATGCAGACATTGTGAGGAAATGCCTCAAGAGCCTGTGTCCATTCTTGAGGGTGGCCATAACCTAGAGGTCACTCATCTTGGAATTTCTAATACCAGAGGCCTTAGAGTCTCTCACCCACCCTCCAGTCTGGACTTGTGCCCCAGAGCTTGGGTGCAGCCACTAAGGCACCATCATCTCGTCACAAATCTTCATCAGCTGGCTGTCTGTCACACACTGTGTAGTCTTTCCCAGACCAGTCAGTCCAGAGGGCTTGGAAGGAAGAAACCAAGTCTTCCAGATATGTACCCATCTCTCCCCTGTAGCTTCTCCAAAGACAGGGCCAGCTATAGCCTGCTATGGCAGGAGCAGCCCCAGGCTGAAAGCCAGCTCTGCCCCCACTCACAAACTGAGCTCTCTCTTTACCTTAATTCTTGGTGCCCTCCCTGGTGCTGGGGCGAGTCCCTAATTGAAAGCAGGTCCCCAAGGAGTCCCTGACTCTTCATCACTTTAGGAACTAGTGGATTTCAGGCCAACCAGATGACAAGACAGACAAGGAAGGTAGGGAGCAGGGGCCACTAGGTTCTCCTAAGGAGGTAATGTGGGGGACTGATGCCAAGAATCTTTGTACTTCATTTATTTATTTATTGGCCGTGCCACACTGGCATGCAGGATCTTTGTTTCCCAACCTGGGACGGAACCTGTGCTCCCTGTGGTGGGAGCACACAATCTTAACCACTGGACCATCAGGGAATTCCTTATGTCCATTATCTTTAAACTTGGGATCAGACTGGAGGAACCAGTAGCTGGGGTGTTAACTGTAGGAAAGACCTTCAACAGTTCTAAGTCATTCCCCTATGGCAGGCTGACAGCACAGCTTCTGTAAATCTTTCCCTCCTCTCACAGCATACTTCCTACAACCATGGACTTGAAAAATATTTTAGATCCTCTCCCAGGAGAAGATTCTTCAGACACTTGGCAAAGTCCTGTCTAGGAGGAAGGTGGCAGCAGAGAGCTGCGGTTGTGAGAATTTAGGGATGCGGGGATCTGGTTGGGAGGAGGACCAGGTCAGGGTTATTCAGTCCCCTCCATACAGGGCACTCAGAGTGATGAGTGTGTGTGTGGCGGGGTGAGGGGTTAGGTGGTGGAAGGCAGTCATTGATAGTAAGGGGATGTTGATTCTGATGAGGGACCGTTAGGAATAATGGGAGCCTGTACACGGAGGGGCACTCTATCAGGGAGAGAGGCCCTGTCAGTAAGGAAACAGCCAGCGTGGACAGCGGCTCCCAGCCCGAATGGCGGCAGCGGCGGCAGTCAGGAGGGCAGCACGGTGGCTCTGGTTTAAATCTTTAATGCACCGGCTGGCTGAGCAGTGGCTGCAGGGGTGCGGCGGGGGAGGCTGCGGCCGGAGCGCTGGGGAGCAGTGCCCAGGCCGCTTGACAGACAGCTCATCAGGCCCCGCAGAGGCTCCAGCTTCTGCTCCCGAGGGTGCGCCGAGCTGTGGGGCGACCCGACACTGGCATGAGATGGGGCGGGAGCTCCCAGCTTCCCCCCGATCGGTTCTCCCGGACTGAGCTTCGCCCATTCCCCGGGTGGGTCCGCGGTATCGCAGCCCCCTCACCTCCGCTCCCTTCGCCACATGCGCAGCCAGGGGAAAAAGTAGAAGCAGCCCCAGTAGATCCTGCAAAGAGAAGGCAGAGCCGGGCGGGGCGGAGCGGGGCTGACCCCACAGACTCCGCCCCTTGGACGCCTGGCCCCCTCTCTTGGAAGGTTCCGCCCCGCCCCCTAGAGGCGGTTCTCGATAGCCCACGCCCCTAAGAGGCCCCACCCCTCCCGCTTCTCCCGCCCCCAAAGAACACGCGCCCTCCCCACCCCCCCACGCCGGAGCGGCTAAGGTTCCTCCTCCGCAGAACCCCGCCTCCACTCACTCCTCCTCCGCCTCCAGCGCCACCTCGTATCTCCTCAATCCCGACATGTCCTGGGTTCCGAACGTCTCCTGGGGAGCGGCATGATTGGATCAAGAATTCCCCAACCCCAGGTCCCCTTCTGTCATTCCGTGGACAAGACTGACTTGTTCTCGGGTAATATGAGACAGGTGCCCTGGGAAGACTCGGGACAGGGTTGAAGATCTGGGAAGCACTAGACATTAAGGGATTGGGAGGTCGGTCACCTCGGGGGCATGGGGCATTTAGGTGGATAGGGCTTGGAGGTCATAGGGCCGGGATATTTGGGGCCCCGGGTGAGGATTTTCGGGGGATAGGGTCACCTGCAGGGGGGCTGAGGGGTCGGCGCAGCCTAAACGCCCACCCTCCCTGGCTCCACCCCGGAAGCAGACCTTTACGTTTTGTCACAGTGGTAGCGTCACGCTCTAGGGGTGGGGCTTACCTATTACCCGGAAGGGGCGGAGCCATAGCATCTCTTCGGAGGAGGCGGAGACCAGATGTCACATTAGGAGGTGGAGCCAGAGCCTATGTCTAAAGCGGGGAGGGGGTGGTGTGGGGAGAGTAGGTACTTATTGCTAAGGTGCAGGGCACAGAGCCCTCTTTTATAAGGATGGAGCCAGATTTTGGAGCTCCGCCCTGGGATGACGGAGACCTCAGCACCAGGCAGCAAGAAAAGAGCTTTGGGACGCTGTCCTGTACTGTTTTACCAATCCCCTCTCCCCTCCATCTTGGCTTCTGCTCTGACAGTTGCCTTTCTTGTCTGACTCATTTTATATATATGATACTGGGCAGAGGAGGAATAGGTCTCCCGAGAGGGCCCAGTCTAGACAGGCCAGGCTATAGAAATACTTGTTGGCTGAGTGGCACGGGTCAACAGCCCTTCCTCTCTAAACTGAGACTCCGTTTCCTGAGATTTTTGTTCCTGCAGTCATATAACCAATATTTATTTAGTGATTACTCTGTGCTGGGGAATGTGTGTGGGCATGAGGAAACAGCAGTAAAGAAGACAGGCACAGATTCTGCCCTCAGAGAGCTTATCATCTGGGTTGGACCTGCACAGGGTGGGGTGGGAGTGGGGGTCAAAAAAGACAATAAGATCACATAGAGGAAGCTAGCTGGCTGGGGGCTGTAGAGGCTATTGGACTGAAGTCAGGAAAGAGCAATTAACTTAGTGTGGGAGGTTGGAAATAGCTGCCTTAGTTGGTCTGGGGAGTCTGGGAGAGAGCCTTGTGGCTGGACAGTATGGGAGAAAATGACCAGAAATGAATGAAATAAAAGTTCCCTTAAGCTGAAGTGTGGAGAATGAATTCACCTCTCCTCTTCCCCCCACCCCACACTCTTTTTCCCCTCTTGTACCTATCTTCCCCTGCCTGGACTACATACAGACAGGTGACAGACAATCCATTGATGCCAGTTGGAAGCTTTGCAGTCTGGGTGTGGAGAAGCTGTGCCTTTACCACACGCATCCTCACTAACACTTGCTCTTACACCCACAGTGACACTCCTGCCCTGCTGCAGCCGAGTCATGTCTGCAGGAGGCCTGGTCCCCACCACTTTGGTGATTCACATCCCTTCACTCAGATGCAAGACTCTGTCTATTATATAATAATTTGGCCTTTGTCCCTATTCCTGAAAGGGAGACACTAAAGCTTTGGGATATCCCAACTAATACAAGTTCTTTGTTATTTGTGAGCCCCTTGGGTCACA